AGCAAACTGTTCTCATAACTGCTTCTCTTTTAGTTTCATCCTCCTATCTAATAAAATAGTAATATGCAAATTGACCACCACTCTAACACACAAGATGGCTGCCCCCATGTGGACACAAGATGGCCACCACAAGATGGCCAGCAGGGGAGGACAGTTGGCAGGGACCAGGCCTGCAAGGGAGGGGAGTTGGGGGTGACCAAACCTGCAGGGGAGGGCAGTCAGGGGTGACCAGGTCAGCAGAGGAGGGAAGTTGGGGGTGACCAGGCCTGCAGGGAAGAGCAGTTGGGGGTGGGGGGGACACCAGGCCTGCAGGGGAGGGCAGTTAGGGACAAACAGGCTGGCAGGGGAGTGGTTAGGGGGTGATAAGGCTGGCAGGCAGAAGTGGTTAGGGGCAATCAGGAAGGCAGGCAGGTGAGCATTTGGGAGCTATCAGTCCTGGATTGTGAATGTCCAACTAAACGGGCAGTTGGACATCCCCTGATGGGTCCCAGATTGGAGAGGATGCAGGCTGGGCTGAGGGAACACACACCTGTGCACGAATTTCATGTACCAGGCCTCTAGTATTTAAATATTTATTCACAGACTCATTTAGTTAAATGTATATTTATGAACTGTCCAGAGCCAGTTTTGGTCTCTCTCAGACTCATGAAAAGTTTAGATGATCAGGGCAACTCTTGTGAAGATCAAGTTTTCAGATTCTCCACCAGGGACATCCTAGGTCGCCTGTGCTTGCAGGTGTACTCAGGTAGCAGCAGTCTGCTTCCAGTATCCCTTTCCCCAGCCCATGGGCGACTCATTCCATTTCTGCCGGGTTCTGCACCTGGACACGGAGGTCAGGCTCTCAACCTCAATTCACACTTCTACAGGGACTGATTTCACGTGTGATATGGGTGGACTTACATGAGGCCGTTCCCTTTTACCCCTCCTTCCCCCACGACAGAGCACCCACCGAGCCCCGCTAAGCAAGGAGCCGCAGCAGGCATAGCAGCACCCAGCGCAGGCCAGAAAGCTCCACGCTGCTTCTCCGCCTCACCCTGCGCCTTCCTCCCATGGCCATGCCTCACTGTGTGCACACAGGTTCCCGCGGACCCCTGAGAGAGAGTGTTTCTGAGCAGAGGGGTGGGCTAAACCTCGCTGGGAATGGACTGAGGGGACAGTGCCAGGGAAGGAAAGAGATCTTGCAAGGAGTTGGCTATAGAGGAGAGCAAACTAAGAGGGAAGCAGATAAAATATTAGTTTGTTTTTAAATAAAAAATGGATTTTTTTTTGTTTTCTAGCAGGAAGGGACTAAGTGGCAGAAAAAAGACTCATCTTCCTGTGCCTTGTAAGTTATTAATATCTAAGTTACAGTGGAACTGGGAAGAATATTCAGGTAATTTGACTAAATGTGCTCACTTTAAAAAATTATGCTTGCATTTCCAAAGACATTTTACTGAGTCCCATCTGACTGTAGAGGGTGACCTCAAATTCTCCACATTTTGAGTATGCTATTTTCAAAGGAAGATACAAGCTGAATGCACATGACAGACAAGCATATTTCCATTCTATCTCCTAGGCTGCCATCTAGTGACAGTTCTAAGTAACGTAGAGAAGCGTAAGCAGCCCAGGGTCCAGAACAAGACTGAGGCCTGTCCATCCAGTGCCCTCACTAAGCTGGGGTGTTTCCAACTGAGCCTAGAGAAACACCCCAGATGTTTACTTCAACAAAATGAAACCACTTTGTCTCACTAACATGGGGAATAAATATAATGGCCAGGCAATTCTATTTAGAAGAGGTACTCCTACTACCTGTCAAAAAATTGATATATTTACTTAGAATTTTAGAGAGGAAGGGAAAGATTAATGTGAGAGAAATATGTATCTGTTGCCTCCCACACACAACCCCGATGGGGATCAAATCTTCAACCTGGCTATGTACCCTCATTAGGAATAAAACCTGCCACCTTTGTTGGAGTATGGAACACTCCAACTGAGCCCACTGGCCAGGGCTGTACAGGATCTTAAATTTCCCTTAGGAACTTATGAAATGGTGCTGGGGGGAAAATAGAACTCACCTTTAAATTTATGGAAAGTATTATTTTTGCCGACAATTTCAGATTTGGTTCAACAGGTTCTCTGCCTCTCATGATCTAAGTCAAAGAGTAAATTCTAAACAATGTCCCATACTCTAGGCTAAGCTCTCTGCCTGCATTATTTCATATAATCTCCCCCCAACCCCCCACAACTCAACCACAGTATCTTTTCCAACTTAAGAACAAAATTCAAATTGACCAGTTGCTAGATGACCAAGATGCAAACCCAAGTATGTTGCCCTAGGGCCCAAAGTCTTCATTAAATCCTGCCTATCCTTATCAAAGATTAGTATTATGTATGCATCTTAGACACCACCTCCCAGAGCACACTGCCCCCAGGAAATGGGTTATCGCAGTGGTCCTGCAAGGGGGTCCTGGACCAGCATATCACCATCACCTGGGAGCTGGTTAGAAATAGAAATCATTTGGCCACAGCCCAGACCTACTGGAAAGCCATTCTGGGTGGGCCCAGGAATCAATGTTTTAACAAGCCTTCCAGGTGATTCTGATGCATGCTGAAATTGAGAACCATTGGGTCTCTACAGTACCGTTTGCTTTACTCATTTATGTTCCAATTCCTCTACTTGACTACCCACTAAACCTTAGTTCCTTCAAACTAAGGCTGTTTTACCCAGTTTTTCTACCGCACTTAGATTGAATAAATTAATAAAGAATGTGGAAGCCAAAGGTTTTAAACAACCTATCTTACTCATTGATATAGGACAGAAATTCCAACAGTATTAAAAAACAAAACAAAAACACAAAAAACAAAACTTGGCATTCCCCTTTCCCTAAATAAAAAACTCAGAGGTTGTATAGGGAGCCAGAATAAAAGGGTTCAGCTTGGTAAACCTGTTATGGTGGGAATTCAGCGGAACATCGAGGGGCGTATTTTCATACAAGAGTGTATTCAGAGGCAGTGCTTAGACTCATGTTCCACTGCTAGTCCATTTCTAACACAAATGATTCCATTCACCCACTAATGTAAAGCAGTTGTAATTTCTTCTCCCAAGGTGCTCCTAAAAGGAGGAAAAGGCTGCAGTGCCAAGTTGGTTACCACAGGCTACCGAATGTACTGACCTATCTGTTCCCGGTTTTATGGCTCTAAGAAATACAAACCAGACTGAGAAGACATCACCCTCTGGAGTACTTGCTTTATTTTTATAGGGAACAGAAGTTTATTCAGGATAAAAATGTAAACTATGAAATCTAACATACAAAGGTCTTTCTCTTGCAGGACCCTGTGGTTGCTGTCAAAATTGCAAAACTCATTACATTTAAGAAAGCAGTGTTGGTTCAGTCAGAAGTTACTCCACACACAAAACTGCTCCACACCGATGGTAGGTCCTCAAAATGGCCCTGCTAAGCAAAGATCAAGTCTTTTGTGAAAGGTAACTTCAATCACCCGTCACACACTCTGTGGGTCTCCCGTTGGCTGAGACTATTGCCAGCAAAGCCATCTTCTAAGACTCGAAACCAAGTACGAGGCCAGGAGGAAGACCAAGTTCAAGTTTGAGGAAATAAAAAATAGGCAAAACAAATGATTCTTCCAAAGCTGTGCTTTGAGATGTTGCTTAAATCCTTAAAATAATTTCCCAGGAGAAAAATAAAAAGGTGGTAGTATGCAAAATATTCCATTTTTAAATTTTTATGAATAATTGTCATTAATACACCAGAAACGGACATGATTATAAAAGATACAAAAAAAAATCAGAATGTTAACATTTAATAGAATTAAAGTTTGAGCTGAAGGCTGCTGAACAGAATGTGGGACACAGCACTGTTTGCCAGACTGTAAATAATTAATTTCACTCATCAAAGTTTAACCCTTTACACTCCGAACCATTCTGGATATTGGCTACCAGCTACTTGACGCTACTTTGCGGTGGACACGTGCGTTGAATTAACTCAATTCCCCGTAATCACTAATAAACTGCAATGTCCCCCCTGAGAGGGGACATCCAAGTGATATGCTAGAATTCCAATGTCCCCTGAGAGGGGGCAGCGGAGTGCAAAGGGTTAACTTAGATTTCAAAATCTACTTTGAGCTACATTTTGATTAAGTAATTTTTGATTTAGATATAATAATTTGCTATTATTTAAAGTTCTCAAAGGAGAAGGCAGGGAGGTGTGTGCATTGTAGATTTATAATTAGCAAGTTGAAACTGTTTTGGTTACATATGGTTTAATTATTTATTCATGTGGGTCTAAAATGCTATTTCAGTTTGTCAGAGCACAAGAGAACTTCAAAAGAAGTCAAAGTCACATCACATAAAAGCCAAAGGTATAGAGATGGATAAATCCATTCTAACTTCTGGAAAACAACTGACACAGTGTAACACCATCACAAAAAACTTGTGGTTTAATTCAGTTTCGCTTTGACTTTTAGAGTAAATTTTAATAAGAATTTGGTGAAAAACAGAAAAATTCTGGTTTTACAGCTGTCCATAAGAAAGAAAAAAAAAGTTGATAGTGATGGGCCTTAGAATCAGTGAGCAATCAATCTATTTTCATATAGCGAATCTTGAGTCATACTTACAAACTGGTGATTAATATACTACAAGACTTTACAAACATAAAACTTCATGTTAGCTGAAACCGGTTTAGCTCAGTGGTAGAGCACCGGTCTGCAGACTGAAAGGTCCCATGTTCGATTCCGGTCAAGGGCATGTACATTGGTTGTGGGCACATTCCTGGTAGGAGGTGTGCAAGAGGCAGCTGGTCGATGTTTCTCTCTCAGCGATGTTTCTAGCTCTCTCTCTCTCTCCCTTCCTCTCTGTAAAAAATCAATAAAATATGAAAAAAAACAACAACAAAAAACTTCATGTTAGAGAACTCCCAAATCAATGGAATTAACTTTTTTTCCTTTTTAATTATTCCTTCAACAGAAAGTCTTAAAATTGGAAGTTACTGAAATTCCTACATTTTTATATGCCATTAAAACATGATTGTTCTTGTCAAAATTATGCAGGCAACTCTTTCAAACAAGGTCAAGAAGTTTATATTCTAGCAAAAAATGTTTTCAGTTTTCTGTACTCCAGGTTACATAAACGAGAACAGTGGACTCAGGTCATTTCTTTCCACCCGCCTGGCCTGATGGCACTGAACCCCGTGCTCCAACGTCTCCATGCTGGGAAAGGTCGGTGTTTGCATGCTCTATTGTGAAGTACCTCTAGATCTAAGGGAGCTTTTCTTTTCCTTTGCCTTTAGCGGAGGCGACCCACCGACTTCCTTTTTGTGCCCGTTTTCCAAGATACTACGTGAGTTTTTGCCTTAATGTTTTTGCCTGGAGTTTTGCGTGACTTCTCTTTGTGCACCTTCTCTTTGTGCACCTTCATGTGCTGCCTGAGGTGGGAGCTCTGACTGAAGCATTTGCCACATTCACTGCACTGGTAGGGCTTCTCCCCTGTGTGGGTTCTCTGGTGCTGAATGAGGTGGGAGCTCTGGCTGAAGCATCGGCCGCACTGATCGCACTGATAGGGCTTTTCTCCAGTATGAATTCTCTGGTGCTGAATGAGATTGGAGCTCTGTTTAAACCTTTCTCCACACTCATCACATTTATAGGGCTTTTCCCCAGTATGGACCCGTCGATGCTGGATGAGATTAGAACTCTGAAAGAAACTTTTCCCGCAATCAGCACATTTATGGGATTTCTTTCCAGTATGGATCTTCCGGTGTTGAAAAAGGGTTGAGCTCTGACTGAAACTTTTTTCACATTCTTTACATTTGTAGGGCTTCTCATCCAGGCCTCTTCTCCGTCTACTCAAGCCTGAGTCAAACCGAATAGTCGTTCCCCATTTCTGCCGCTGCCAGCCTCTTTTGCGCTGGTTCTCAGAGGGCTTTGCTTGGCTTGCACTCCGAGAAATCTTCCCTTGGGCGCTCCGAGGAATCTTCCCTTGGCTTGCGCTCCGAGAAATCTTCCCTTGGGTTGGGCTCCGAGGAATCTTCCCTTGGGTTGGGCTCCGAGGAATCTTCCCTTGGGTTGCGCTCCGGGAAATCTTCCCTTGGCTTGCGCTCCGAGGAATCTTCCCTTGGGTTGCGCTCCGGGAAATCTTCCCTTGGCTTGCGCTCCGAGAAATACCTCCCTTCGGTTTTCCTAACTGCATTGTGAGAGTCAGATGTGTTCTTAAGAGTCCACTTGCTTCTTCTGAACTAATGCTTCTCTTCCGAGAGCTACAGAGCTCAGAATTCTCTGGGTGTAGAAGAAAAAACAAAAATAAATTAGATGATTTGTTAATTATTCAACTTTATACCTCTTTAGATCCATCAAATTTGCTTCCACTTTTAAATTTAAAAAGTATTCAATACATAGGAAAATAAAAACAATTCTGCAAAAAAATACTTGTAAAGTAATTCTAATAATTCCAGAGTTTAAACTTAATATTAGCAAATAAAAATCGTTTTAATATTTACTCTCAGGTTAAACTTCTCACTGGTAGCTATCTAATTAAGGAGTTCAAATTAGAAAAACGACAAATTATGCTTTTAATAACTACAGTGTCTCAAAAAATGTATACACACTTTAACAGCTGGTAGTTCAATTTTGAAAATTAAATGTATTTTAATAAACACTGCCTTTATATTTATTGAAAGTGTGTATACACTTTTGGGACACCTATATTTGTCCTTATTCATTTAGCCATTCTACTTTCACAGCTATAGATAACAACTTTGCTCTAGCTTTTAGCATAAACTGTTTTGAAAGTAGGAACTATTCTGTAAAGAGCATTTAAGTTTCTGTAAGTTAATTTAACAAATGCTGGGTGAGAAAAATGCCCATAAAGAGATGCTTTTTTTCTAGATTTGAATGATGAAAGAGGAAAATTCTTTAAAAACTTGAGGATTGTGTTTTGAAAGATAAATATTTTAAAAAGAACTTTTACAGCAGTGTTTTTCAACCTTTCTTGGGCAAAGGCACATTTGTTTCATGAAAAAAATCACGAGGCACACCACCATTAGAAAATGTTAAAAAATTTAACTCTGTGCCTATATTGACTATATATAAAGTAATTCTCTTGAATAGGAATCAAATAAACACAAAGTATTTTATAATTACTTTATTATGAAATATTAAGTAAACAAAATAGTGAAAAATTATAGAATTCTTGTCTTGTCTGCACCTACGGCACACCAGGCAACATCTCGTGGCACACTAGTGTGCCGCGCGGAACAGCGGTTGAAAAACGCTGTTTTACAGGATAGCAAAAGAAACAGTAGGAAAAAGGGTGCAAAGGAGAAAGTTTAAATATAAAAACAGAGTTGGAATTTTAAAAGACATCCAAATGCTAAATAAACTCAAAATTTCAAATAAATCAATTTATTTACATATGAAGTTATTTTTTAAAAAGGCATAACAAGCCACAAACTCTAAATAGGTGAAAATTTACGAGAAGCTAGGCTTAAAAAATAATACAATTATTGGAACTATTTTTCACATCAGATGTCAGGAAGTAGACAAAAAAATTATAACAGGCTTCTAAAGCAAATAATGAAAACACAAATGACACCATTGTTCTGCCATTCCTTTATCTTTAAAAAAAATATATTTTATTGTTTTTGTTTTGTTTTACAGAGAGGAAGGGAGAGGGATAGTTAGATCGATGAGAGAGTAACATCCATCAGCTGCCTCCTGCACCCCGTAGGGGTGTCGAACTCAATCAGAGAAGGGGCCAAAATCTAAAATCCAGCCTAAATCGCGGGCCGAATGGTTTACTGAACAGTCATAAACTGTCATTGTGATGGAAACGCAGCGGAGTGCAGTGATGACAGCGCAGTGCGGGCCACATTGCAAGGCCTGGCGGGACGGATTTGGCCCGTGGGCCTTGTGTTTGACACATGTGCTATGTGCCCACAACCAAGGTACATGCCCTTGACCAGAATCGAACCTGGGAACCTTGAGTCCGCAGGCCAACGCTCTATCCACTGAGCCCAACAGTTAGGGCTCTTACCTTCATCTTATTGTATAACTGAGAGTTCAGGCTTGATAGCACTGGGGAATTTATCTGGATATTCAATAATTATATCTGCTGCAATTATGGTATCAGAAAAAGCAAACTGCATTCAAAACAAAATTACAGCGATACGGCTACTCAGTCTTTAACGGTGGTCAACATTTACAGAACATCTTACAAGGAGGCATTTGTTAGGTCCATGGTACTGGAGTTCAAAAAATGGCTTTAATAGTAATTATACCCTGAAAACACACACATTTACTTTTTAATACTATAGAAGTGAGACCTGGCAGGAAACTCAGGAGACTACCTAGTCCACCTGAAGCACCGGAGATGAGGACATCACAGTCCAGGCGGCCTGTGCGCCAGGCACGTGCCCACGCTGCTCAGTCCTCCCGGCAGCTCCAGGCCGGCGCCTGGCCCGCACCGGCCGGCCCGCACCGCGGCGGCCCCGCCAATGGCCGCCGCCGGCGCGGGCGCGGGGCCGGGCGGCAGTAACGGGACCAGCCTGTTTTCACACACAAACTGGAAGGACAATGAAGCAGCCACGCCGACAGCAGCGAGGCTACACAGAAAATGTCGCCAAGTCCCAGAGCAGCCGGTGCCCCCCGGACCTCAGTTCCCCACACGCAGCGCCACTGAGGCTCGGGAAGCGGCCGGCCCGCCCGCGCCTCAGGCCTCCGCGGCCCCCTCCGCCCCCGGCCCGGCGTCCTCCAGCGGCGCGGGGAGTGGAGGCCAAGGCCAAGGCCGAGGTCGCCATCCCCGGCCTGCAGGCCCACGCACCGCATCCCGGCCTGCCGCCCGCTCCCCGCCCCCCGCCCCACCGGGCCCTCATTCCCCGCGCTCACCCACCCCCGGCGGGCTCCGCTTCCCGCACCCCCGGGACCCCACTCACCGCGCCTCTCTCCCTCCCTGTCGCCCCGCTCACCGCGCCTCCCGGACCCCGGCCGCCCCCGCGCCGCCCCGCTCACCAAGCCCGCCGCCCCGGCTCCCCAGCTCGGCGCCCTCCAGACGCCGGAAGTGCAGGCCCCGCCGCCGCTGCCACTCTAGGAACTCGCGGAGCGACTCTATGGTCGCGGCCCCCTTCTCTCGGTGGGTTCCTCCTCCAGATCCCCCGAAGGCGTCCGCCCGCGCCCCTGGTGGCCGAGGAGCGACCTGCAGCCGGTGCTTCCCGTCAGGGCTTAGGGGCCGCGACCAGCCAGCCCCCAGCTCCAGGCTGTTTTCTGCACATCTGACGCACTGACTCCCTGTAAGGGGTGCTATCGGGGACCCCAACTGTCCCCGATCTTTTTCACGAGTCACCTTGTTTCATTCTCAGCAAGACGCCCCGCAGGGCCGGAATGGTCTTATTCATTTCACCCGCAAGGAAACCAAGGCGGAGAGTGTGCTCCAGTATGCACCATGAAAGCGGACCCCCAAGGATGGGGCGGGCTTTTCCCGGGGAAGTCTCCCGGTTTTCAGCATCCCCTTATTTATCCTTAGTAACGGTCTCCCCTGTTTCTCTCTTCTGCCGCTCCTCCACCTCAGCCAAGCCGTCCTGAGCTGGGCACCCTCTCTCCTCTGCCAACTCCTCTGCTCCGGTGGCTTCAGAGACTACCCACAGGTGCTGAAGACTCTGGATTGTGAACTCCAGCCCCGCTGAGATGCATTTATTACTGGACTCCAAATTTGTCTACCCACTTGAGTACTAAACACTACTTGCTTGTGTGACGGACATTGCAAACCTGACTGAGTGAATTTATGACATTCACCGTCCTAACCTATTCCTTCAACAGTCGTCATCCCAGCAACTGATGGCAACTCCATCTGTCCAGGTGCTCAGGTCCAAACTCTTGATGTCATTGTTGACTCTTTTTCATGCAAAACCCAAATTCAACCCATTGAAATTATATTGGCTTTATCCTCAGAATATATCCGGAAATGAACCTTTTACCCCCACTGCTATAACCTCTGGCGAGCCACTCTCATCTCCTGTCTGGATTATTGCTCTGGCTTCCTCGCTGGTCTCCCCAAAGTCTGCGCACAGCCCCAGAAAGTCCTCTTAGAATCCAAGTCAGAGGATTTACCTTACTTTTGTTCAAAACCTCCATAGGTTTCTGATGCCATTGGAACAAAAGCCCATGGCCTCACAGTGGCGCACACAGCTGTCCAGGTCTGCTTCTTGCTCTTTGTTGTGTCTGCATTGCTAAGAACAGGGCTCAGCAGGTACAGGTACTCAGCAAGTGTTTGTTGAATGAATAAATTTGTAAGATACCTCATTGTTTACAAGTGCGTTTACATCTAGTCTCAGGTCATTCATCTCTACTACAGTCTTGCTATGCAAGGATCGTTATGTCTGTCTTACAGGTCAGTAAAATAAGGCTGAGGGAGGGAGACTTTCTGAGGTAACACAGTGCGTTGATGGTAGAGGCCAGAGTAGCTCCAGGTGGGCTAAGGCCTGGACAAGGAATGCCAACTCAAGAATCTGAATAGTAGCTGGACCGTTGTAAAGATTAAATGAGATAAATGTAAGGGATTTAGCACAGTGCATAATACAAAAATATGAGGTGTTGCTATTACTTTTACTAGTATTATTTATTTATTTATTTATTTATTTTTAAAAATATATTTTATTGATTTTGTACAGAGAGAAAGGGAGAGAGATAGAGAGTTAGAAACATCGATGAGAGAGAGTCATCAATCAGCTGCCTCTTGCACACCCCCTACTGGGGATATGCCCGCAACCAAGGTACATGCCCTTGACTGGAATCGAACCCGGGACCTTTCAGTCCCCAAGGCGACACTCTATCCATTGAGCCAAACCGGTTTTGGCTACTTTTACTAGTATTATTAAATCACTATTAGAAGTTGATGCTGGTCGTTGAAGGGGGTGGGGGTAGGGAGCAATGGCCAGAGATAGTATAGGAAAAGCTGCGTGGACCTTGAGAAAGAAGTTACCTGCCAAGAAGGGCCCAGCTGGCTGACTGGATTCAAATGTAAAAGGAGAGCCTAGCAGCCCTTTCTAAACTGGGGCCTTTCAGACAAGCCACAGGCAGGGAGAAGCCTGCCCTGAACCACCTGCCTGCACTGCAGGCCTGACCTCCCTTATAAAGCAGTTCCTGGGATTTCAGCCAATAGGACTGAGGCTTTCCCCACTCAGTCAGAACAGCTGAGCATCCAAATCACCAACATCCTCACTGATCAATCAGAGCAGCTCCATTTTGACCACTCAGGACAGTGCCTTTTGGACCAATCACATTGCAAGTATTTGGAGTCCTCATTTGCATGAGGATGACCAGTCAGGGACCAGGCTGTGTGTGTAAGCCAGCTCCCCTCTGGCTGAGACAGTACCCTGCCCCTTTCCACTAGTGACTGAAGGTTGTGCTCCCTCTCCCGGTGCTGAAACACTGAAGTCATCTCGCTGGAGCAGCAGAGGGGGGCAGAGCAGAGCTGTCCAGCCCCACGGCCCTCTCAGCCTGGGGCTGCCTCACCCCAGGGCTGCCTTACAGCCATGCTGCTTCATAACTGAGCTGTAACAACACAGCTGTTTCATAGCCGTACTCCGCTTGACAGTTTCAAAAGCAAAAATGACCTGCTGGGACTGTTTGCTCTATGTACATTAAAATAAGATAACATTTATTTAAAAACATGTTATTGTTAGTCAGTCATTAATTAAGACTAACTACTTCCATGTCCCACGTAAAGGTGAATTACCTCTTTTAGCTTACCTGATAACGATTTGGCCAACTACAGTAGGCCCAGAGATGTGTAGATTGGAAAAGTAGAGATTTAGATAAAGAAAAATGAATTTTAAAAAGGAGAGAGAGAGAGATGAAAGTCATGAAACAAAGGTGTGTAGGTAGAAGAATGGGCAGAGTGGGAGGTGAGGATGGAGAGGGGCAAGAAATAGAAAGGATATGGGGTGGGGAGGAGGAGGAAGATTAAAAGAAAAAGGAGAAAGAGAGGGAGAGAAAACAAGCAGTGTTTTATGCCTTCTACTTAGTAGTATAGTTATAGTCGATTCTTACTGAACGCTTACCATGTGCCAGACACTGTTCGAAGCACCTCCTTCCATATTCCTGTGCTAGGATTGTTTCCAGGCATTTACTGGCCCTTTTTGAAGGTCACATCCCTGCCTATTGCTGACACCCATCCCACTAATGTTGATTTTAGGTGTGAATAGCATTGGCCACCTGCATGTGAGTGAGTGGACATGGAGTATACCATGTCCCGGAAGAGGCTTTACAGCACTGCTTCTGTCTCCACACTGTCCCTGCCTCTGCCTGGAGAATACTGTGTGCCACGTGGGCTGCTCCTTCAGTGGGACCTGAGAGAAGACATGTGGAGCGGAGATACATATGCCCACCTCAGCCGCCTGTAGTCCCATGTAACTTGACAAATAAATGGTCTGATTATAGTCACTGAGATTTTTGGTGTTACTTGTTTCTGTAACAAAGTTGACTAAAAAACCTCCCACAACTTTAAGAGATAGGAATGTTATTATCCTTATTTTACAAATGAGAAAATGGGCACAAGTAACTGGCTTTGCTTTTTCTTTTTTGTTTTGTTTTGTTTGTAAAAAGGTTATCTTTATTGTTGAAAGCATTAGAGCCCAAGGTGAGTGGCTGCACATGCACATTTTTGTGTTGGCTCTTTAAGAGGATGCCTGCATTTCCAGCCATCTCTCCCTAGCAGGCAGCAACCCCACTGCTTTTCACAGCCAGATGGTATGAGAGCATCTTTCTCAGTTCTGGTGCTCTCTGTTGGGGGTCCAAGCTTGGGGTTAAGATCCCAGAGTTCTCAGTGGGAATCCCCCACAGCTGAGATTTCTTTCCATAACTTTAGCTGCTGTATGCTGGAGCCCACCAGCCCTCTTGTGCCTCCGCCCTTCCTACCAGTCTCTATGTGGTATCCACTTTCCATCCTTGGTTACAAGGTTCTCTCAAACTGGCCCTCAGGTGGAAGTTTTTCTGTATTTTAGTTGTATTTCCAGTTCGGTCCTGGGAGCATGTCTGTGCAGCATCCACTTACTCTGATGCCCCCTTGGAATCCGTCCCAGCTGTGCATATAACCTCCATATGATAGCATCTCTCCAATGGGGTTCCAGGTTATTTTTAAACAAATAATGGGACACATATTTACAGAACAAAAAGGACAAAGGGGGAGAGACTGGGAGGGACAGATAGGGCAGCAAAGACATGGTATGCCACCACCTCTCCCCAACAGCACTTCTTTCTGGGGAAACTGGACTGAGGGTTTAATGGCTGGGGGTTCTCTGGAGAGAGTTTCCAGAGTGTGTCCCTGGCTCTGTGGTATTTGAAAGGCTCCTTCTAAGAAGGACAGTCTTCTGGGCTGAGAAAAGTGCTGGCAAGACAGCTTTTTTTTACAATGGTTTTGTTCCCTGCATCTCACTCCAGAGAGAGAGAGAGAGAGAGAGAGAGAGAGAGAGAGAGAGAGAGAGAAGGGAGAGGGGAGAGAGAGGGAGAGAGAGAGAAGGGAGAGGGGAGAGGGGAGAGGGGAGAGGAGAGAGGAGAAAGGAGAAAAGAGAGGAGAGAGAAGAGAGGAGAGAGGAGAGAGGAGAGAGGAGAGAGGAGAAGAGAAGAGAAGAGAAGAGAAGGGAAGGGAAGAGAGAAGAGAGAAGAGAGAAGAAGAGAGGAGAGAGAAGAGAGAAGGGAGAAGAGAGAGGAGAGAAGAGAGAAGAGAGAAGAGAGGGAGGAAGAAGGGAGAGCTGCATTTGGAAATAATGCAAGGGATGTGGTCACATGTGTGGCCCAAGCACGGTAACACGTGGGCCAGCTCCCATGAAGGCCCTGAACAATGGTTTGAGTGCCAAGCCTGAGACCTGGCGTTCTGTTTCTGTTGAGTTCTCTGGGAAAGGAAGCTCTGGGAATTCCCATTCCTAAGTTTGCAGAAAAACACCCCATTTAAAAGTACAGCCAGGAGGGAGCAGAGCCCCACCCTGCCAGCTGGGCGTCCAGGGCAGGTCGGCAGCTGGCTTTCTCCCAGACAATTACAACAGCGTGTGCACTGAGCTGTTTTTACACTGGGAACCGGCTGGCTCTGATTGCACCTCCTGGCTGATTGTGGCTGCGGGACTGAGGCGGCGGCTGCTGTCCACCAGGACACCTGCTAAGGACAGCCTGCCCCTGTTCTGCAGCTGCGGGGCACCCTGTGCCACCCACACGGGCACGGTGTGCACTGCCAGGGCCTCCGCCATTCACCTGGCCTGCCCTGGGCCTAAGGGACCAGATGTTCCTGGGTGAAGGCCCAGCTTTATGTTGACAGTGGGAAGGTCTTTCATCCATTTTCTGGCAAACATCCCAAGCAGGTAGCATATGGTTGTTACCAAGGGAAAAACAAGCTGTTTTCAAAGCCTATTTGTTCTGGACAAACCACCCTGTTTTTCCCGAGTCCACTTGCTATGTTGCAATCATGTGGATTTCATCCTGTTTGTTATTTTCCCTGGTTCCTGAGCCGGGCCTTCTGAAGGAGAGGACGCGCTCTCACCAGCATCTTCACTTCACCTTTGGATACACTCATTCCCTGAGGCACTGGTTAGTGAAGGGCGTCTGAGAAACACCGTGAGGTCTGCAGAGAGAGGGCCACGGAGCTTCCCCACAAACCAGCAGGAAACCAGAGCCTGCAGCGGCGGGGTCACAGGGAGCTGACGGAAGCAGGCTTTCCAGTGGCCCCTGCAGAGTAAGGGTGGCATCGATGGGAAGCCCTCAGATGACAGGAGTGCCCATTTCCCTCTTTTTGTGCCAGTGGCTTTTGTTAGCCCAGGTATTCGGAAGTTAGTTTTGATAATGTCCATTTTAAAAGTGACACTTATCTAGACAAGCATTAAATTAAATAATATTGTAAGAAGTGCAAAAAAACACCCTCAGTCTCTTGTCGGTGGAATGGGGTTCTTTCACGGACTCGCAAGGAAAGCATTCCGGAAACCGCGTGTAGGAGGTGGTGACGTGCAGACTTAGTGTGGCGCCAGATGCAAAATCAAAGAACTGCCCTGGGTTCCAAATGCCTCATCTGTCCCGCCATAAAGAAAATCCAAGCTTGCTTTTCAGGCCCACAAATAGGGCCAGTGTCCGGAGATTGTATGCCATCCTGCTGCTGCAGTGTGCCAGGCCAGAGCGGCGGCCAGGGCCGCATGATAACTATGGAGAGAGAACGCAGGAACCAGCAGGCCAGCACCGTTACCCAGCAAGAGAGAGAGCTTTGCTAAGCTGAGATTATATTATCTTGGCCTTGGGGAAGGACCATGCATCCTTTCAAACTAACCAATCAACTTCCCAAGCTTTGCTGGGCTTGTATTGGATCCTCCCCCTAACCAATCCACTTCCTAGCTCTTATCCAATCCGATCCTTTCCCCAGGTTAGTCTGACAGGCCTCTAAGTGCACCATGGCTCCTCCTGCGCATGCCTCACAGTGGAAGCACCTCTCCTGAGTCATCCATCCTCATCTTGGCTTCTACTGCGCATGTGCCCAGAGGGGGAGGGGGATTTCTCCTGCTGCTTTTTTTTTTTTTTTAAATATGTTTTATTGATTTTTCACAGAAAGGAGGAGAGAGGGATAGAGAGTTAGAAACATCGATGAGAGAGAATCATCGATCAGCTGCCTCTTGCACACCCCCTACTGGGGACGTGCCCGTAACCAAGGTACATGCCCTTGACCGGAATCGAACCCAGGACCTTTCAGTCCGCAGGCTGACGCTCTATCCACTGAGCCACACCGGTCCCGGCTTGCTGCTTTTATTCCTCCCTTGGTAATGACCAGTAACAACCGTCCTGCTTCCTTTGGGAATGAGAGGTCCGCCGAGGGAGCGTGAAGCTGCAGCTGCCCAGTGGAGCAAGCAGGCTGTGTCTGATTCGGCTTCCTAGTTTATTATGCTGAATAACATCTGATTCCCTTTGCTCCCTTCCTTTGTTAATATCTAGCTATGGCCCTGGCCAGCTGGCTCAGTTGGTTAGAGCATTTGCTCACACACCAAAAAGGTTATGAGTTCAATTCCTTGCACTTATGAGGTGACCTATCGATGTTTCTCTTTGCCTCCCTTTCTCTCTTTAAAAATCATAAAGCATATCCTCTGGTAAGGATTTTATATTTTATATAATATACATATCTACGCTAACAAACCCACAAACAGGTGAGTATTTACTGAGGGCTCCTGCTCCTATGGCTCCCCGGGCTGGCAGGTGTCTCCGGGCTGGAATGCCACACACAGTTGTAACCATCAGGCTCAGCGTGGGCCTCCGCCCAGGGCCCTTCACTGGCTCGCTGCTCTCAGGGAGTCTCCCGCTGAGGGCGCCCTGGCCTGCAGAGGACTGGGGCTCTGCCTTTGTCCCCCCAGGGCTGAGCAGAGGCCTCTCACAAGACCTCACTCAGTCACTGCTGAACTAGAGCGCTAGTTCAGGATGGCAGCTGTGCTAGGCCCGAGGCTGTAAACAGGGGCCGGGGAGTGAAATGACCCGTTTGATTTCTTTTCTACCCTCGCCTCGTTCTTGCCGCCAATCCACCTGAGCCCGTACCTGGAAGATTCCTGATGCTGAGAGTCTGTGATTCGGGATGACCCTACGTTCACCGGCCAGGCCACCCACAGACCCCACAACGATGACTCCTCCATGCGCTGCAGCCCCCTCTGTCCTCAGGCTCCACACCCCTCCCCAGGGTATGCACAGAAAGCAGGAGTTATGTCTGTGCAAGGGCACCGATGGGGCTCGGATCTAGATCAAATGCCAAGTTCAGCTGTGCCCTCTCCGGGTAAGAGTCTCAGGAATACAGCAGGGGGGCAGGTGACACACACAATCAAAAAGGAGTCGTGGCCCTGACCCCTCCAGCTCAGGGGAGCACACCGTTATTAGCACCTTGGAAACTGTGCTGCCACAGGAAGCAGACAGCAAACTGGCAGCCTGGCTGCTCCCGGGCTCTGCTCCTGTGGGCGCAGCGGGAGCCGCTGCCCAGGCAGAGGGGGTATCCGCTGCCTGCATGTGGAGGCCTCGCTGGTTCTTCCCCTGAAGTGGGCCACCCACCGGCAGCGGGAAGAAATTGGGTCTTTAGCTTCTGACAAATACCATGACTGACATCAAGTGTTGCATAGGTTTGCAGAAGACTTCTTATTCCTGCCAGAAATTCTCCATCGGCTGACAAACCCAAGAGGCTCAGTGTCTGGGCCCAATGAATTCAAAGCCCTTTCTCCCCAGGCTGACGTTTCTCCTCATCGCACGCCTGTGAGGGAAGTGCTTTGCGTGGAGGCTGCAGCCAGAGAGGGACAGTGTGGCGGGGCCTGGGCACTGCCTTCTCCAGCCGCTGACGGCAGCCCCTGGACCCTGGACTCTCCCACAAGGGATCGTACGTACACCCAACGCCACATGGGCCGCCCCCTCCCCTGGACCAGACCGGCGTGGCTCTGCGGTGAGCTCCCCAGAAGGATTCCTTCAGGTCTTGCTGAGGAAGGTTAGAGTCAGTGCCGCGGAGAGAAGGCCAGGAGCTCGTGGTCTCATTCCTGTCCGGCCTCTGCCTCCGGCGTGCCGGGCTGTGCGAGGCTCAGGGACTGACATCGGATGTTTGGGGGCGGGAGCCAGGGACGCCACGGTGAAGTGGTGCCGGCAGCAGGCACCTCCCCTCCCTGCAGGCAGCCCGCCTCCCTGGCAGTGCTCCGGAGCGCAGCACAAGGTGGCTCCCGTGGACGCAGAGGGCGGGCTGGGCCTGCGGGGCTGTGCCAGCTCCAGGCTCGGGCAGGTACCGCTCTCCTAAGCAGGAGATGTGATGTGCACAGGACTAGCCAGCCCATCCAGAACGTGGCAGGAGTCAGCGCCAGGGCTGCTCAATGCCCAGAGCAAACTTCCACTCAGCTCCCACTAAACCAGCAGGAAGCCCCACTAGTGACTTCCTGCTGCTCAGGCTTGTGCGAGTGCTCACGTGGAGATAAGAACATGGGGCTCGTGGTACTCGGGCGGGTAGACAGGTTCGGGTTCCTCAGGAGGGGCCGCCGGTCAGGGCCCGCTCGCAGGCACTGGGCGTGCGTTGGCTGCTGGTGGCTTCGGAAGAGGCGGGCTCTGGCTGGCTACTGGGCCTCCACCAGCTGCTCCAGGCGCTGCTGCATCGTCAGGCGCAGGGCTTGGAACCTGGAGGGAGACACGGCCAAGCAGACTCACCGACACTGCGAGGGACGGGGCGGGGGAGGGGGGCGGAGTGAGGGAGCTGCAGATGCCTAAGCCAGGAGATTAGGGTCCCTGACTGCTGATCAGTGCCACCGCCTGCCTTCTGCCACGGAGGGAAGAGCCAGGCGGACACCCTGTGGGACCACAGGCTGCCAGAGGCAGGCACAGGGCTGCACACACTGCCAAGCCTCACAGCCACGTGCTGCCATTTCCATGGCAAAGACTGTCCAGTGTGGACAGGCGCGTGCTGGAGTGGACAGAGCACAGAGCCAGGATCAGAGCCCTGGGTTCAGGCCTGTGTCCTCCCTGCACCCTGAGCAGACTGCCCAGGTGGCCCCACATCCTTTTCAGGTCCCAAATCCGACAGTGACCCTGCTGACTGCCCACGCGGGGCCCAGCGCACAGATGGACGTGTGGGGGAGAGGTGGAGCGGGTGTGGCTTCCACGGGTCATTCAGCCAGAATCCTAGCCAGTCCTCAACTTCAGGCCCCAGCAGGGAGCAATCCCCTCTGCCTCCCCCCACTTCCCTTTCTAAGAGGGACTCTGACCCCGGCCCTGGCATGGCACCTTGCACGTGTCCTTTCCACGCTTGGCTCTGCAGAGGGCCATGTAACCTGGCTCACCTCACACAGCTGGGCCCAGTAGCTTCCCCAGGAGCTGCCAGGTGAACTGGTTCTCTGCACCTGAGGTACAACCACTGCCCCTGTTGGCAGGCGCAGACTCCGCTGCACGAAAGCCCCGGGCAGGCTGACCGTGAGCAGGGCAGGCCCTGTCCGCGGCTCCCCCAGAGCCGGGTCAGCAGCAGAACCCCAGCCCTGGTCCTGGCCCACCCATGCCCCTGCCGGACTCTGCTGCCGGGTTTTCAGCAGCTTGTGTCCCTCCCCTCTGGTGGGGTGCTGGATGGGGGACTGGGCTTCCTCCTGCTATTTGGCAAGTATCAATGCCAAGCAGAGGGCCAGAGGGCCGGGCTGGAAAACCAGGGTTGGCAGGCTTCCCTGAGCCGTGTGAGGGCACCTGGCATGTCTGGAGGAGAGAGCTCTCCCTCCAGAGCCTGGAGGATAGAGGCCTGGCCTGGATGCTCTACCCTGCAGGCTTGCCTGATGGACAGGCCCCTGCACTGGCCCTTTAAGCATTGGTCCTGGATGCTCTACCCTGCAGGCTTGCCTGATGGACAGGCCCCTGCACTGGCCCTTTAAGCATTGGTCCTGGATGCTCTACCCTGCAGGCTTGCCTGATGGACAGGCCCCACGACTGGCCCTTTAAGTGCTGCTTACTTCATGGTCAGTTTGATTATTTCTCTTTGCTCCTCTTCTTTTAATTTTTCAATAAAACTGTCCAGCACCGGCATTTCAAACTTAATGTACTGAGCAACCTAGAAAATCCAAGAACATTTTAATGTGCTTTACATTAGACGCCAAACACATTTTCTTTGCCTCCTGGTTTCCACCGGCCCAACTCAGCAACGCCTCACGCCTGGGGAGGCGGCTGCCCTCTCCCGCCCTCAACACTGTTCCGTGTGCTCTGGGTGGGCTGAGGCTGAGGCTGAGGAAGAGCATTGGAGGTGAGCAGAGGCACACGGGGTGCAGGGGGGACACACTGTCTCACGGTGGCAGGACACTGTGCTGGCCCGTGGACTCAGACGCCTGTGCACAGGCCCAGCCAGGCCCTCGCTCAGAAACCCTTGTGCGGACGGACCTGTAGTGCAGGGGTCCTCCACCTTCCTAATGCCGCGGCCCTTCAGCACAGCTCCTCGTGCGGTGGTGACCCCCAACCACAAAACTATTTTCGTTGCTACTTCATAACCGTAATTGTGCTACTGTTAGGAGTCGTAATGTAAGTATCTGTGTTTTCCGATGGTCTTAGGCTCTACTGGGGGTCCGTGAGGTCCGAAAGGTCGCGAGCCACAGGTTGAGAGCCGCTGCTGTAGAGCCTAAGACCATCGGAAAACACAGATACTTACATTGCGACTGAATGAAGTAGCAACGAAAATAGTTTTGTGGTTGGGGGTCACCAGCACACGAGGAGCTGTGCTGAAGGGCCGCGGCACCAGGAAGGTGGAGGACCACAGTGTTGCAATGACAACAGTCACTGCCATGAAGGAAAAGGCTCCACCTGCAGGAGGGAAAGCCCAGGCAGTGGCTTCCTGGAACCAGCTTCTCCCTCTGAGCCGGCCCACGGAGCTGGAGGGGGCACAGAGGGGTGGGGGCGGGGGCCGGAGCCATCATCGCCCTTGCCAGGGGCCCTTTGAGACAGCCGTGCGGTCCCTGGAGACCACGTCCGAGAGGGCTGCGGCCAAGGACAGCCGGAGCCCTGAGAGCCCCCCGCCATCCGCCTGCCCTCCCTCAGGAGCAGCCTCCCAGCCCCGGCCCCACTCACGTCGTGGGGAACCTCCTCGCCCAGGTCGGCCTCCATCAGGAAGATCCTGGCAATCTTCTCACTGGGCCCGTGCAGGATCCTGGAAATCAGCGGGTACTCACAGTCTTTGAGTTTTGTCCGCTCTGGAAAGAAAGGCGGTTTACAGAACTCAGGGGCACGAGGCTCGCCTTGGTCCCGGCCAGGGCCAGGATGGACAGCGGCTGTCAGGGCCGCGGGGGCCCTCCTCCAGGCCTGGCTGAGACGATGGCCCTGAGTGGTGTGTGGCCACGGCCTTCACAAAGGCCCACGTGGACAGGGACCGTCCCGGGGGTGGGGGGTGGGGAGCGGTCCCGGAGGCTGGGCCCAGAGTTGCCTCCCGGGGCTGGCAGGGGCTGGGCCGCTGCACTGCTCAGGGCTGAGGGCTCCACTCCAGCTCACAGACCCTCCCAGTAAGTGGGCTAGGATGGCGGCTTCCTACGGGGCGTAGTGGTTCTCAAAGGGACAGGTGTGCCCTGGCCGGGCTGGGAGAGGCATTCGGGGTGCAGGCACAGTGGGTCCCAAGGGCAGGAGGGCACACAAGCCAGCACAGCCCTGGGAGAGGACCGTGGTCGGGAGCCTGCCTTTTGTTCTCGTGATCTGGGGCCAAGGCCGACACTCACCCCCCGACTCGTGAACCACGTAGAGTGCGAACTCGCTGGGGCTGTTCTCTACCTGCAGCGGCAGAGCAGAGGTCAGACCGGCATCCAAGACCAGAGACAGGGGCACTCCTGCAGCCCCCACGCCCCCGGTGCCACGCACACAGATCCCCCTGGCAGCACCCACACCCCTGGTGCCACGCACACAGATCCCCCTGGCAGCCCCCACACCCCCGGTGCCACGCACACAGATCCCCCTGGCAGCACCCACACCCCCGGTGCCACACACACAGATCCCCCTGGCAGCACCCACACCCCCGGTGCCACACACACAGATCCCCCTGGCAGCACCCACACCCCCGGTGCCATGCACACAGATCCCCCTGGCAGCCCCCAGACCCCCGGTGCCACGCACACAGATCCCCCTGGCAGCACCCACACCCCCGGTGCCACGCACACAGATCCCCCTGGCAGCCCCCAGACCCCCGGTGCCACGCACACAGATCCCCCTGGCAGCACCCACACCCCCGGTGCCATGCACACAGATCCCCCTGGCAGCACCCACACCCCCGGTGCCATGCACACAGATCCCCCTGGCAGCCCCCACACCCCCGGTGCCACGCACACAGATCCCCCTGGCAGCCCCCACGCCCCCGGTGCCATGCACACAGATCCCCCTGGCAGCACCCACACCCCCGGTGCCACGCACACAGATCCCCCTGGCAGCACCCACACCCCCGGTGCCATGCACACAGATCCCCCTGGCAGCACCCACACCCCCGGTGCCATGCACACAGATCCCCCTGGCAGCACCCACGCCCCCGGTGCCACGCACACAAATCCCTGGACTACCCACCCCCCGTCTCTGCCTCGAACCCCAGAGCCCAGCGCCACAGAGAGAACCCTGCCAGGCCTTCCACCAGGGCCACAGACAACACTCCGCCTCACCCACCCCCAAACCCCCGTCACCCACCCCCGACGCAGCAGCGGCTGGGAGGCCGCCAGCTGGGGACGCGGACTTACCCGGAACTTGCTGAGCAGCAGGCTGAGCACCTGCAGGGTGGTCATGGTGCTGTTGACCCTCACGTTGGTCACGGACCCGTACGCAGGCGTAAACACAGAGGTCTGCACGGGGAGGGGGAGCTCAGGGCCGGGCTGGGGCCGGGGCTGGCACGCTCAGGGCGGGCACACCATCAGCCTGTGCTGCGGGCGCGGAGCAGCAGACGAACGGGGCTCTGACCTCACACAGACCCACGGGCAGGCCATGCCGGACCTCGTGGTGACAGCTCACATCTCGCTGAGAAAGATGCCGGCAGTGCTGCCAGGGCAGCCTCTGCTCCCGGGACTCAGTGGGCCAGGAAACCCACAAGGGACGGAGGACCGTCTCTCCCTCCTCTTTCTGTCCATCAATGACCAGGTGTTTGCCGATCCCCAGGCAGAGAGTTCTCAGTCTGCCCACGCCTCTCCACTCTCCCAGGGGTGCCCAGCTTCCCCCGTTCCCCTCCAGGCTCCGCCCTTTGGATTCCCCCACAGACCGGTGCCCAGGAATAATCTTCCCAAACCCTGACCACCAAGCGTGCTCTGAACCAGCCCCTGCTTCCTCGCCTGGCACGGGGGCCTCCCGGGCACCCCGCTCCTGGTGCCCCACTCCCCACATTCCGATGGGCACATCCTCTGCCTGCCCTCGCTCAGCTCTCCTCGGCTGGTGGCGGGGACTCAGTGTCCCCGGCTGGTCCCCAGTCCCAGGGCCAGACCCGCCTGGACTTGCCTTCTCTCGGAGAAGACGCGGGATGACTGGTGACACAGAAGCCAGCCTCGCCTTCTGTTCCCAGTGAGCACGGGATGACTAGAGGAGCCAGGCCCCGTCACGGAGAAGACTGAAGAACACCGGAACCTTAGGAGGATTTACTACACGTGGTGCTCATGGTAACTAAACCGTTCCCAATCCCCCCTTAAGCTCGGTCCTGGGCTCGTCACTCCTCCAGGAAACTGTCCTCTCGAGCCCTGGGCTCTCCTGAGTGGAGCACAGACACTGGCAGCCGCTGTCACTCAGCACCCGCTGTGGTCCTAGCGGGAGCGTGGGGGATGGGGGTGGGGGGCGCTGGGAGGTCCCGACAGCAAAGCAGGGAGGGTCCTGTCGGCTTGCCTTGCTGACGGCTTCATCCTGAAGGCCAGCCCACCCCAGCGCGGCCTGAATGGCTCCGGGCAGGCCTCGCCAGGGCTGCTCTTTAGATCTGATCCCGGACCTCCTCCCGCTCCCGCCGGCCTGGGCTGCTGCTTGGACTGGAAGCGCCTGCTCCGTTCCCAGGGCGCTAGGATGGGCCTGGTTCAGGACCTTCCACCCAAACCGCCACCCGTGCCCGCTGCAGCACCAGCCAGCGTCTCCTCTCGCCACCCAGTTGCTTACGGAGTGATGTCACTTCCTGAGCCGGGGACAGTACATGCTGGGACAAAGGCTGCATGCTGGAACCTGGGGCAGTGCGTGTTCCCTGACACGGCCGTGTGCCTGGCACGCCTCGGCCTCGCTGACTCACTCCCCCGGCACAGTGCCAGCGAGGGGCATGGTGCCCAGGAGACGGAGCCCAGATGAACCTGAGAACACTGCCTCGCTAAGCCCGGCACACACCAGAGACGGGTGTTTTACAAAACTCAGGGGCATGTGCGAGCACGGCTGGACCGTGTTTGTGGTGAAGGAAACGCAGGCTTCCGGGTCCTGAGCTGATGGGACTATGGGCTTGCCCTGGCCGTGTTTCTCCACCCTGCACGCCACCGCTCAGGAAGGTGGGGAGGGAACTCTGACATGGCCACCCCGGGCTGGCGGGTGGCAGGCCCCGGGCAGAGGCGAGGCGGAGGTACCTTGTGGTTGTAGAAGTGCCCGTTGATGGAGAAGCGGTGCCGCCGGGTCCTCTGGGTCTCGTCGGGGCTGCGGCAGCGGGGCCTCCGCTGGACCACGCAGGCCGCGTCGCTCTTGGTTCGCATCAGCTGCGGGGTCTCCTCGCCCTCCTCCGGGGGCCCTGCGGCCGGAAGGGATGCAGGGTCAGGCCCCGGTGAGCACCGGGGACAGGGCACCGCGGAGGCCGCAGATCTGCTGGACGCTGCCCCGGTGTGGAGGTGGGTCCTGGCAGGAAGGTCACCGGTGTGACCACATCACATGCTGGGTATTGGGGGGAGGGCATGGAGGACGGGGGGCAGTTATGGATCTAAGAGTGAGGACAAGGCCCCAGGCCTGCACGGCCAGGAGGGCTCCAGGCCGCCTGCGAACTGTTCCCTCCTCCTGGAACACTGCCTGGCGAGGGGCCGGTCACTAAGGAGCCACGTCCCCCGCTCCCTCCTGCCCAGTGAGGAGTCACTGAGGACCCCGTATTGCTCCTGAGGACCGGGGGGGCTTCGCTCCTCCTCGGAGCTGCTCTGAGGCGGGGGCACAGCCAAGCCCTCTCCCCACCGGCTGAGCTCAGGGTCTGGGAGCGGCCAGCTTACCTGAACTGCTGTGGGCACTCTCAGGCCTGGGCTCCGGGGGCTGCGGGCCGGGACCCCCCTGCAGAGGTGGCTCCTTTCTGGAAGGACACGAGCACAATGCGGCGCAGGAGTGGCCATGAGAGGCCACTGCATGGGCGGCACACAGGCCGGATGCCGGGCAGGCCGAGTGGAGGCTGGGATTTCACTCCAGAGTCAGCGGAAATATTGAGAGAAAAGCACAATATGGCCACGTGTCTGCTGGGCTGAGGGGGTCTGTTCTGAGGCCCGTGGCTCTGCTTCGCCACATGCAGGACACGGACACCACGTGCTCTGTGCCCCGGGCTGTGCCCCGTGCCCCATGCGTGGGCTCAGGCATCCCGCAGGCCTGGAGGGGGCCGGGCGGGGCAACCCGGCCTCCGGGCTGGAGAGGAACAGGCGTGACGGCAACTAGCCCCCTAACTGCGCGTGAATGAGCTCTGTGCTGCAGCCTGAGCTGCTCGAATTTGCTTCCCGTGACTGCCCTCCACCCCCGTGGGTGGGCCAGTAGGTCAGCGTGCTGAGGGTCCTCGCAGTAGCGGTGCCTTGATTTGAGTATTTGAAGGGGGAAAGGATGATATTAAATGTTGATAAATTGATAAACATAAATCCTGACGTTGAAGTCAAAGCAGAGCAGGAGGAGTGGAAGCTGTGCACCTTTAGGACAGACCCAGAGCTGCTGAGAAATGCCTGTTTGCAGAGACCGGGCGGCTCCTGTGGATGTGTGAGGAGACGGCTGGAGGGGGGACGCTGGGGCGTTTTCCAGGAGGACAGCGCCTGGGCCGCCACCTGGAGAGACCCCTGGGGCGAGGCCGCCGGGCCGGGAGGCTGCGGGCTGACGCTTCGGGAGGGGACAGGGCTGAGCCCGGACTGTGTGCCCCCTACAGGAGGCCCGGGACCCCCCACCAACACCCCAAACAGTAAGCGCAGGGTGACCAAGCGCCACGGAGGCCACCCAGCCCCCGAGCGGCACTCACAGGCGGCAGCTGGGCTGCCCGGCGTCCAGGCGGCCGAGGAGGGGCGCCGGCTCCCGGTCGTCCTGCATCTGGAGGCGGATGGGCCGCCGCAGCCCCCAGGCAATGGTGAGGAGCCCCTCGATGACCAGCTCCCCTTCCTCCTGTGGGACCGCACAGTCAGCCTCTGCTGGGAGCCCTCGGAGTCACCGCCCGCCTCCCCCTGCCCCCAGGACCCAGCCCTTCGGACACGGGACTCCCCGGACACTCGAACCCCCAAACACGCACCCTCCCTCTTGGGGACCTCCCTGGGGGAAGGGGCACAGTGGGGGACAGGGTGGCTGAGATGGGTGTGCCCTGGGACCCCAGCCGCTGTCCACACAGCACCCGGGAAGCTCGGTTTGGGAGCCGCGGCCGCACCACCTCGTGCCTGGCGCGGCCCCGTCACCATGGGAAGCACCACATCTGGGAAGCAGTAAAACCAGGACCTAGGCCACATGTGTCAAACACAAGGCCCACGGGCCAAATCCGTCCCGCCAGGCCTTGCAATGTGGCCTGCACCGCGCTGTCATCACTGCACTCCGCTGCGTTTCCATCACAATGACAGTTTATGACTGTTCAGTAAACCATTCGGCCCGCAATTTAGGCTGGATTTTAGATTTTGGCCCCTTCTCTGATTGAGTTCGACACCCCTAAGTCCTAGGCGCTGCCCTTGGTCCCAGACCAGGGTGGGCACTGCCACCTTGGTGCAGGCTTACGTAGCAGCCTCGGCCGCCTCCAGGGCAGAGCCTCCTGGGGGAGGGGGGGGCAGGCTCCGGCTCCACCACACCGGCTCTAGGCTGGAGGGCCTGGGGCTCAGGGGCTGGCATAACCCACGGTGGGGACGCCTCCAGGTGGTGGTAGCAGCCCCGAGGGCAGCCTCTCCTGGCCTGGGCTGAGGTGCCAGCAGTGGTGCCCGCCCTGCCCCACCCCTTCCCTCAGAGTAAACACTCCCAGGGCCGCCCACAGCACAAACACTTGCTCCTGGTGGGCACGGGGCCAGGCCTGCCCCCTGAGCTGTTTTCCGGAGAGCCTTCCTGACGGCTATTTCGGGCCCTCGTGACATAGCTGATCAGTGGAAAGGTATAAAAGCCGCTGCGGGGCCTCTGGGTCGGCCAGACCGTCAGGGAGGGATCTGCCCTGGACACTGGCACATCGGACAGAGGCCGTGGCACACGGTCCTCACCCTCATCCCCACCGTCTGTCACCGGGCACGGGCTCTGACAGCCAACCCGCTTCGTCTGCTCCGAACTCCGTGGGGCTTCCCGCGCCTGCCCTTGCTCCTCCGGCGGCCCTGCTGCCCCCAAGGCCCCTCGGCCACAGGTAAGAGGGAGCCCTGCCCCCGGTTCGAGGTAAAACAGAATGGCGTGGTGTATCTTCCGGGCTTCAGCGGGGACCTGCCCGGCCTCAGGGGCAGCCCGCGGCAGTGACAGGGGCTGTGAGGGCTTCATACGCACAGGGCTTTGCGTGAGAGGCCACTGGTGCTTCTCACAGCACACGCCCCTGAGAAGAGGTGTGTGCAGCCCCGTTTTATGGATGAGGACGTGGAGGCTTGCAGAGGTGACGCAGCCAAAGGTCCCTGATCAGGGAGTGGCAGAGTCTGGCTGTAGACCCCCGTCCCTCTGGCTGCAGGCTGGCTGGGTTCTCTGACTCCATGGGCTTTAACGTTTGAGAGAGGAGCGCTCTGCGGACTGTCCTCAGGCCCGTGGCTCACAGACGGCCTCCGCTGGGGCGGGGGGCGCAGGGCGGGGCGGGGGGGCAGGCGGGCATGGCAGACCCTCACCCCTGGTTCTCCCAACAGGTGGCTGCTTCCGGCCGTTGGCAGCCATGAGGTCCCGGCTCCTGCTCTCCGTGGCCCGCCTGCCCACCATCCGGGAGAGCCGGGAGGAGGTGCTGCCCGGGGGGCCCCGGCAGGACGCCCTGGCTTCCCCGAGCCTGGGTGAGCACAGGAGGTCCCTCTGCCAGCTGGCGCAGCCCGCCTCGGCGCTGACTGAGGCTGTGGCCGGGGCCCGGCCCGGCAGACGCCCCTGGCCAGCCCGGGCCGGCAGGAAGAGCGGCCCTCCCCGGTCCCTCCAGGACATCACCACTCCCATCAGCGGCCAGCAGCCCCCAGGCACCGCCGAGCCCCTGGGCTGGCTCTTCGGGCAGCCCCAGGAGGAGCAGCCACGGTGCAGGGGCCTGCCAAGGAGGACCAGTCCCTCTGCGGAGCCCTGGGGTCCTCATAGACCGACGGAGAGCAGCGAGGCCGGGGCGTGCCCCAACGGGAAGCTCTATGATGCCAGGGCACCGGGGCGCTGTCCGGGGGGACGGTTAAGGGACTGGCACCAGGGCTCCCGGCACCCCATCCCGGCCGCGGCCTCCCCGCCCAGCGCGCGCCCCGGCAGCGTCCTCAGATCTCTCTGTTTGCACCTCCCGGTGATCCATGAACTCTGACCTCCCCAATAAAGGCTCTGTGCAGAGCAGCTGGCCGCCACCTCTCCACTCTGCCGCCCCCGCGGGGGGCACTGCGGGCCTTGGAGGGGGGGGTTTCTGCAGGGGCTGCCTGCTCTGGGACCCCGACCCTGAACAGGAGCAGCCTCCCCCGGGCTGTGGTGCTGCGGTCCCCACATTGCTCCTCCCTTCTGAGCAGTTTCTGAGTTTTCTCATGGCCCAAGGGACCTGCCTCCTGGCTGCTCCGATGAGATAAACGTCACACACGTCCCGGGGCACATGCTGTGAGCCAGACACGGCGTGGCTGCTGCCTGTGTGGGAGGCGAGGTTGGGGAGTGAGGAGAAGCGAGATCTCACCCCCGCCCAGTGGTTTCCGAGGAGGCCCTGGGCGCTCCTATCAGTCCCTTGGCCCCATCTTCAGAGCACAGGTCCCAGGAGCCCCAAGGGAAAACGTGGTCTCAGCAAGTAGCCCCACTGCTTCAGGGGCGCTGACACGGCGGCACGGGGGTACCTCAGTGGCTCCAGCTGTATTATCAGGAGGGTTTTCCCCAGGCTGAGCCCAGGACAGAACCCGTGCCAGCTCAGCCTGCAGGATGCCCAGTGCTTCACCAGGTGATCCTGCCGCACACCCCCGCCTGCCTCCACCCAGGGACCTCAGCTGTGGGGGGTGAAGTGCAGGGTGCTGTCTGGCCCTGTTAGCAGACAGGCCAAGGGTCCAGGCCTCACTCCACATATCCTCAGGCCCAGGTCAGCCTGGCCATTCCCGGGTCCCCCAGAGACCGGCAAAACCCCTTTTCCTCGAGGCATCTGGCAAGCAAGGAGGTGAGGGTGAAGGGTAGGGGAGAGGGAGGGTTCCCTCTCAGAGCGGCAGCTGAAGGTCAGAGAACCAAAGGATCAGGCCTGGGAACCTGCCACCTGCTCCCTGGGCCGGCAGCGCTGGCCGGCCGGGCAGGGGAAGGGGACAGAGAGGGCCGGAGCGGGGCTGCAGCCGAGCACACAGCTGCTTCACCTCCCGGCCTCCCCCACCTCCCTGCTCCGTGTCCGTCCCTTCCTTCCTTCCTTCCTTCCTTCCTTTCTTCCTTCCTTCCTTCCTTCCTTCCCCCTTCCTTCCTTCCCCCTTCCTTCCTTCCCCCCTTCCTTCCTTCCTTCCTTCCTTCCTTCCTTCCTTCCCCCTTCCTTCCTTCCTTCCTTCCTTCCCCTTCCTTCCTTCCCCTTCCTTCCTTCCTTCCTTCCTTCCTTCTTCCTTCCTTCCTTCCTTCCTTCCTTCCTTCCTTCCTTCCTTCCTTCCTTTTCTTCCTTCCTTCCTTCCTTCCTTCCTTCCTTCCTTCCTTCCTTCCTTCCTTCCTTCCTTCCTTCCTTCCTTCCTTCTTTCTTTCTTTCTTTCTTTCTTTCTTTCTTTCTTTCTTTCTTTCTTTCTTTCTTCTTCTTTCAAAAAATTGTTGTTGTTGTTATTAATCCTCACCAGGATATTTTCCCATTGATTTTTAGGGAGAGTGGAAAAGACAGAGAGAAACATCGATGTGTGAGAAACACACTGATTGGTTGTCTCCTGCATGAGCCCCAACCAGGGCCCAGGCAGCCCGGGAGCAGGTGCCTGGAACCCGGCGCCCTGTCTCACGCTGAGAACCTGCGGTGGGGGGTGGGGGGAGGAGATTCAGGCCAGACCCCCACAGGAGTTTTAGGGCTGGAACAGGGAAGTCCCCGCTGCGGGATGTAAACTTCCCACACCTGGGGGCTGTCACCACTGTGAGGTTTCCATGGGGACTGTCCGGCCACACACAAGCACAGGCACAGGTCCCGGGCTCCCCGGCTCCCCAGCCCTGCCCCCCACACAGCTGCTCCTGCAGAGGGTTTTCCTGGGGAGCCCAAGTGCCAACACCCAGCGCTCCGACCTGCGCTCCTCTGCAGGGGGCCCGGGGCCCATCACACGCAGGGGGGAGGGGGTGCAGAGCTTCTGCGCAGCGGGCTGGGGGAGGACGGAGGCGAGAACTTCAGTCCTAAGCTCCCAGTGAGGCTGCAGGTGTGGGAACCCCCCCCTGAATGCCCAGGGCTGAGGAACGGGGTCAGCCGGAGATGTCATTCCCGGCCGCCGCCAGCATCAGAGCCGAAGAGGCCTGCTCCTCACTTAGCCGCGCGGGTCAGGGCTGCCCAGCACACGGGGCTCCGTCCCACCCTCCCTGGCTAGCTGGCTCCTCATCCACCCCTGTGCCCAGGGCCGCCCTGCTGGCCAGAGGCTGCAGAGCCAGGCAGGCCTCGGGCTCCCACCAGAGTATGGACAGACGGTGAGGCCGGGCCGCGGGGTCAGAGCCCCTGGCAGTGAGGAGCTGGGACAGGTGGGCTGGCGGGCAGGCGCTAGAGGCCGCTCGGCAGGGGGAGAGTGTGCGGGAAGGAGCCCTCGGTAGAGCCGGTGGGGAACAAGGTGTCAGGCGTGGCCCAGGCCCGAGAGTGTGTGCCATCTCAGCAGCCAGCACGGCCTGACCGGTATCTGGTGGCCCAGCAATTCGGCCTGGCGGGTGGGTTTTAGCTGGCCCTCCTTCATGCCACCGACAGGCGACCTCCTTCATGCCACCGACAGATGCCCTCCTTCATGCCACCGACAGGTGACCTCCTTCAGGCCACTGACAGGTGCCCTCCTTCATGCCACCGACAGGTGACCTCCTTCAGGCCACCGACAGGCGAGCCCCAGCTGCTGACAGAGGACCCCAGCTGCCCACAGCTGCCCGGTCACGGGGCTCACCCTCAGGTCTGGGGACTGCGGAGGATCGCGGCTGTTGGAATCGCTAACGGGAATGAAGATGGACGAGCAGCGGCTGCCTCCACCTGAGGAGGGGTCTGGGGGGGGTGGGGTGTGAACTGCCCATTCTTGCGCTCAGCAGCCCAAGGGGACTCGGGCTGCTGGCTCCCACAGACACTGACAAGCCTGAGGGAGCCCAGGAGTCACCCCGTCTCAACCGTGGGAACCCCCAAACAGAACCTTACACGACAAGTCTCCCCGGGGGCTTTACAAGCGGATTGAGTGAGACCGCGGTGGGGCAGTGCCCGGCCTGGGCCCCAGTGAACGGTGGGAGGGTTTCAGGTGGGGGAGGGCCAGGCCTCTGCTTGATCTGCTCAGTGAGTGGGCCCTGCTGGCCATTCCCGAGTCCGGCCGGCACCACAGCCTCTGGCTGGCCACAGACACGCTTTGTTTGTCTCACAGGGGTTCCGAGGCTTGCGAGATTCCACATGAAATCCCGGGTGTCTAGCTTCTGTTGAAATACCAGGAGGGCCCGTGTGGGCCAGTCCACGCTCCTGCTCAGCATGTGGCCTCACAGGGCAGCAGCGGCCTGCAGGGGGGACGGTGCTCTCTGCCCTCCACGCCCTCTGCCAGCCCTGCCTTTCACTTCCGGGCCTGCCTGGCCTGGGCACTTCTGGGCACTCCTCTCCCTCCAAGCCCTTCCTCTGCTTATTCTGATGGACAGAGCCACCTCCTTCACGCCTCGATTGTCCTGCACCAGAGCCTGTGCTGAGCCCATTTGTGCTGTGGGATGGGTGGTCTCACAGATTTCAAACTCCAATGTCCTGGCGACTCATGGGGACAAAAGTCCCAGCTGGAAGGAGAAGGCCCATGGGAAGACTCCGCGGCTCTGAATTCTCACCGGGATAGCCTGACCCTCTGGCCCCTGACAGGGGCCTCGCGAAGAGATCCTGGCTGCCATCACCTGGTGCCTCCCTCAGAGGATGCGTGACCTTATAATTCATTACCAAATGGGGACACTTCCAAGAGTGAGGGACGTGGGCTTAATAATTACCCTGGAGCCCTACCTGGCTTGGCTCAGTGGATAGAGCATCGGACTGTGGTCTGAAAGGTCCCAGGTTTGATTCCGGTCAAGGGCTTGTATCTTGGTTGCGGGTACATCCCCAGTAGGAGGTGTGCAGGAGGCAATTGACTATATTTCTCCCTCATCGATGTTTCTAACTCTCTATCTCTCTTCCTTTTTGTAAAAAATCAGCAAAATATATTTAAAAAATAAGAATTATCCTGGAAATTAGGTGTAAACTGGACCGTCTGTGCAAATGGCAGATAGACGGTGACTGCATACAGCAGAGACCGGGACTTACCTCTCGGTGTCTCAGCTGGAAGCTTCTGCCCTCGTGGTAGCAGTTGTAGGTTTTCAGCAGGTGTAAGAGCTCCGACCTGGGGAGGGAAGCACACGAGCATCCTCTCTGCGTGTGGCAGGCCTCGGACAAGGGGTGTGCCCTCCTTGGCCTCAGTCTCCTCATCCGCAGAGCGGGCATCACAGCACACAGCTTTCTGGCCACGCACAACTGGTCAAGAGACCAGACTGCCATTGGACACGCGCCCTTCAGCCTTCTTGAGGGTTCCAATATCAGCCCTCGGGGGAGGCATAGGGGTGGGACTTAGAGGGAAGTGAAAACTCACAGGTGGACCCCATCCCTGTGCAGTGCGGGTGTTTGCATGCGGTCACTATTGAGGATAAGAGCTCCTGACGGCCTCCCCATACTTTACTGCTGAGTCATTTCCTCAAATAACCCCCCGGGCCAGATTATTGGCGTTTGGAAGACTCCTGCTTCCCCCCCACATTACTGCCTACCAGGACCTGGCATGGCTGCTGTGGGGGCACCAGGAGGGCGACCTGCTCTTTCCCATCCTGACCTCCTGGAGGCATGACAGGGGGTGAAGGAGACAGCGGTGAGTAAGACCCCGAAGGCCCAAGTGTTTTCTCCCTAGAATAAAAGGGAACACACTGTGCTTGGCTGGCATGGCCGAGAGAAGACAGTGACAGCTGCCTGTGCCCAAGCGGCCTCTGCAGGGCAGCTCCATCCAACAGATACAGAATGCGCGTCACAGTTATCCAAGAGGGAAATGAAACAGGTGAAATGAATCTTAACAACACTTCACTGAACCCAGTATATCTAAAACATTATCGTGCCCCCATGTAACCTGTATAGTGTTAACGAGACCTTGCTCAGTATTGTATTCTGTAAGAAGTGTTAGCCACCTGGAGCATCTTTCACAGGAGCTTCGCTTCTCCAGCCACTGCCCATGCTGGAGCCACACTCGCTGGCGGCCCCTCCTGGGCAGGCTGCCCTGCATCTTCCTCAGGCAGTGCCAGCACCGGCCCCGCACCAGCCCGGCTGTGGGTGCGCAGCGCCCGCTCTGCAATGTGGGGGTGACGGTAATGGCCAGGGGAAGTGATTTACAATGTTATGGCGTTGACGAAGCAGCATTCAATGCTGCATGTTCACTGGGCTTATAAGTGTGTCAATGCTAAACACAAAATTATTAGGATAGACACACACACATATACACACATACACATATGTGAAATTAATCATGTTATGGTGATTATGACTTTTCAAAAAATGATATCTGATATTGTTCTTATTGTAACACGTAAATAAGAACATGACGGTATGGGCAGCACAGGGAATGATACAGGGAATGCCGTCTGCTCTCAGGGTCTCAGCAGGAGGGCCCGGCACCATCTCTTACAAAAGCGATCCCTCTGCATGGGGCTGGCTTGTCTTCGGATGGCAGGCAGGCGCTGCCCAAAGCAGACAACGTTTAGACTCAGAACTCAAAGAGCAAGATAAAATCACAACTGTGCTTTTCTTTAGTTCAGAAATAAATTTTAAAAAGATCCTACACGTTTAAAAAGTATCCTAAAATAAAAACAAGCAAAGCTTAAAATCATGTGTCAGTAAAATATACCTTTTCCGTAAAAACTCAAAGCCATTGTTGAGGGTTTTTTCCTGAACTGTTTAACACAACAATAAGAGTATCAGTATTGCTCTGGCTATTTTTGCTGGTTGGTTTGTTTTTCAGTATTGTTCTAGCTTTTAAATAAATACCCTTTCTGCAGAGTCACATGGGCACACATGCTTTTGTGGGCCAGAGGGGGCAGAGGTCAAACCCGCACTGTGAGGAGACAAGACAACCACGCCATGGCAGGCCAGTCACTGTCCTGGGGCAGGCACGCCTCCCATCTGGGAAAAGGGCCCGGAACTTTCCACCCAGAGGCTGCCCATGGAGGAGACCTCAGGCACGCACCCTCCCAGCACACACAGGCTTACTTCAGAATGGATTTGCTGTCGCTGATGGGCACGTGAGAACTGGGTGCACAATCTTCCTTCATCTTCTCCTCCTGCCTGCAGACCCGGAAGCTACCTGCCAACAAGACCAGGAAGGGCGCACAGACAGGTAAGCGGAAGGAGCTGGCCAGTGGGGTCCCCAGAGCCCGCTGCCTGGGCTCACCTCCCACCTCCATCCTCCCAATCCTGCATCCCCAGTCCCCTCCTCACTTCCACTCCCTGGCACAGGACAGGCAGAGGAAGGTCAGGACCAGAGGACTTAGGGGTTTCACACCTGCACGTGTCAGCCAAGCGCCCCCTGGTGGCCCAAGGCCAGAACTGCCGAGTCAGCAGTTGCCAGTTCAATCAGCCCCACTCCTAGGACCTCTCCACAATCCCTGGGAGTCAGGCTCAATCTCCTTCATGTGTCAGGGCAGGTGCTTCTTCCCCTCCGCGGGGACACCCTGAGTAATGTTTCTGTCCAGATTATTCCTCCAAGTTTCCGAAGTGGCCTGGGCCTGTCCCCCTCATTCCCGCTGTGCCCCTGGAGTCCGCACCCCTGGCCAGCCCACCAGGGACCGGCGGACAGGTACCATGCTCACTAAGTGCCACAGACTGTGTTGAGCATTTTCTATGGTTACAGCTGGTAGGTTACCGTGGTGATGAGATGCTGCAGGAACTTAACGCCCGCATACATTTAGCTTATTGTAAACCGGTTTCTTTAGCTGTCACTTCACTTCAAGTCACAGAACCCATTGCCAACATTGGGAGGGCTAACTGTGTTTCATTTACTCCTCACAACAGTACGAGGTAAATGCCATCCTGTTCCCATTTTGTGGGGACAGGAGGTAGGCACTTTGCCCAAGATTCCCAGCGCAGAAGTGGCAAAGCCCCTGCGAACGCCAGCCCTTAGCGCCCGGATACTGCCCTTTCGCCCTTTCTGCGCTGACCTTGAACAGCGGCTCACACCCCTGAGGAAAGAGTGAAGAAGGGACTATATAAGCAGTTAGACAGCTGGGACACAGGAAGGACCATTCTCTTTCTAGCTCGCCTGGGACAGAGGGGCAGAGGTCAAACCCACACCCTGGGGAGATCCTCCATCTCCTAAGAGACAGGCTCCAAAGACAACCAGCTCTGAACTTTCCGCCTGCGTCAGTGCCCCGGGTGAGCCTCTAATTACCCCGAGGACTCAGTGCGTCCACCTGGGGCGTGACCAGACCTGCTGGCACCCTGTTCCGGATCACCTGAGAACTCCGACGGTGACTCTCCGGGAGCGGTCCTGGGCCCAGAATGCAGGGCTGATACTGGTCCAGGAGTGCGCTTGTTGCTACAAGAACTTTTCACTTTTCTTTCCTCTTTGAAACACTCCTGGGTTTTTTTCCTCGCTGTGTTCCAGCTTGCAAACTCCAAGGCCCTGGAATGAGCCTCTGTGCTGTTGCCTAGAGCAGCCTACAGGCTCCTGGAGTGGTCTGGCGCCTCCGGACCAGGCTTTCTCATCGGCACAGTGGGGTACCGCCCTCCAGGGGATAGGAGGTTCACGCAGAAACTGCCTGTCTCTTCCCACTCGGCCCAGCGAGGTCTGTGCGCTTCTCCCAGTCCCGGCTTCTGACGGACGGTAACTCCCTGGGGCGCTCCCTACGGCACCAGCATCTCCATGGCACAGGCACATGGTTCTTACTCCTAACTCCCTCCACGCCACCCTGGGGAGGACTCTCCTTCTGTGTGCTAAGCAGCAAGCCACACTTCAAATTCACTCTCCACCCTGGCCCTGCCTCCTCCTCCCCTCTGCCAAGCTGCAGCCAGCAGTCCGAGGGGCACGTTACACTGGGCGGTGCGCAGCCAGGTGCACGGCCTCCCTCCACCCATGAGGCGGCTCCTTCACAAACTCGGTTGACACAGACCTGGCTCAGTCACACCTTCCTGCTCTGCGTGTGTGTGTGTGTGTGTGTGTGTGTGTGTGTGTGTGTCCCCTGCTGTTCTGTGAATCCGGGGAGCGGAGTGCTCTGTCCCTCGGGCACACTGCCCATCGCGCACTCCCTCCCTGCTTGCTGGACAGCCCTCCCAGAGGAGCGGTGCAGGCAGGAGCGCTCGCTCCAGGAGGCAGGAGCACGTGGGTACAGAGAAGGAGAATTATTTGAAGGAGGAAGGTGGGCCCCCCAGTGACCCCAGAGTCGTCCTATAAACACGTCCTTCTGCCTTTGCATGAGGCAGGCCCCAGCTGGGAGAGGCCAGGCTCCCCGAGGAGGCCCCACAGCCAGCACAGGCCCTGCGTGGGCACAGGGCGGCACCTTGGGCCTGGGGGAACCTCCTGCTGCACTCCGGGCCCATTGCAAAAGAGGGTTTCGGTTCCTCAGCACTGCAGTGCCCGCAGCAAAGTGACCGCCAGGCTCCGCCTCAGGCCCTTCCTCAAATCCTGCCCACACAGCCGCTGCTCAGCGGAGCGGGTGAGGCTGGGGGCGGCCCCCTCACACTGTCCTATGGCTCAGGGCACAGGGATGCCTGCAGCCTCTTACGGGAAGGGCTGCGTTTACCCAGAAGGCAGCTCTCCTGCCTTCCTCTTTTCTGCTCCCTCCCACTCCCTGCTCTCCCACTCCCTGCTCGGACTCCAGCCTCCTGCCCATAGCCCCCTCAAGGGCTCAGTGCCCTTTGCTCCATTTGGGCTTTAACCGTGCTGTCCTCTACTCAGTCACGGCCTTCTCCCTGTCCTGTACCCCGATGTTAGCTCAGGTGGCACCCGCCAGAGCAGCTCCCCTGGGCCTGCACCCGCTCCAGGCTCCCACTCTGCTGCCCCAGGAGCCCCTCTGACGCCCCCTCCCCCCCACACACACCAAGAGGAGCGCACTGCCTCAGGGACGCTGTGGTGCTGCCTCACCACCCTTCCCCTGCGGAGAACAAGCCTGCGCATTGCAGGACAAGAAGCCAAGGGGTGGGTGTGGGGAGCCCCATCCAGGGCCAGGCCCCGTGCTGCCTAGCACGTGAGATCTCCCCACATGGGCCTTCGGGAGTGTTTTGCCCCCAAGAGACTAATTCAAAGGATGTAACGCCGGTGGCTGGAGCTGGGCCTTTGGCTAAGGATGGGAGCCGCTAACTGGGAAGCCAGCCCGGAGGCCTACCGCCCTGGGTGGGGGAGGGGAGCAGGCCCAGACAAAGAAGGCTGCCTCCCAGAGCGGGTGCTGGCCTTCCTGCTGCATCTGTCACTGGGCAGCTCCCAGGCTGAGCCTGAGAGGCAGGCCAGCCCCAGGCAGCGCCCAGTCCCGCTTCAACCAAGGCACTTCCACCCGTCCAAGCAGGTCACAGGCGTGGCTGGAGGCGAAGCATGTGGCCTGCTGGCTGCCGGTTTGACATGCTTGATCCATGTGTATTCTGGGTTTCTGCCCTGGTTTTATTTAAAGATACAGTTGTGTTTTTTAAATAAAATATTGAAAAACACCCATCCTCAACCAAAGGCCCAGCTCAGCCAGTGCTCCCTGCAGCCGAGGAGGGGCGGGCTTGTGCCGCCTGGCTCACCTGCGCAGTGCCTGGCGGTGAATGGGTATAGCTTTCTATGTCAGTGGCTGCCGGGCCCTGAGCAGGGGCTGGGGTGGCAGCGGGACCACAACCACCCTGGCTATTGTCCCTGCCTGTGGTTGGGACAAAGGGCACTGAAGCCTTTCCCGTCAGGCGGGGCCCACCTTTCCTCCGGTCACGAGCTCTGTGGCTCTTCAGGGCACCATGGCAGCGGATGGCAGAGGAGCAAAAGAAAGCTAATGCCAGAGCAATATCATAAAGCCAGCGGAACGCACTGGAGGCCTGCATCCAGGCTGTGAGCTCCTGCTCTGGCCGCACAAGGCCCCCTCTCGTGAAGCAATGGCTCAGAAGCTGGCCACTGTGACCCTCACTCGGCCAAATGGAACAGGTGTCGGTGTCCACATTGAAATGTCTTGAGGATGTCCGGGCAGTCTGAAAGCTTGGTAACCTCTGTTCGAACATTTGAAAAGGTTGTGATTCTTATTTTCTTGTTTAGGCCTTATTTTCTTATTAATAACCCCAGTGTTCTGGGCTGTACATTTGACTAAAGTCAACATAAGTGGCGGGAAAACAGCAGAGAGGACAGAGCAGTGGGACCGGCTCTCACCGGGAGGGATGGAGGCTCCGAGGGAGGGCAGGTGGGGGACACTGCGGGGCACTCCTGGGAGCCGTGTCCCGGGCCACAGCTCCCGCTGCCAGGCAGGGCCAGCCGGAGGCACGGAAAACAATGCCCTGGCAATGGGCCTCCCTGGCACCTGCTGGCCAGCAAGTGGCAGGAGCTAGGCCAGGAGCGGGCTGGCACCAGCTGCCTCCAGAGGGTCTGGCTGGACAGAGGCTGCTCCTCAGCAACTCACCAGCCAGCTTTGGGGTGTGGACGGCAGGCAACTGCTCAGCAGCTGCAGATCCCACCCACTTCCAAGCTGCTCTCCTCCCCCTTCTCCCCCCAGTGGCACCCCTCCCCATCCCTGTGGCTCAGCCAGACCTCCCTGCCCCAGTGCTGATGGCTAGGAAGGCCTGGAGGACACTGCCCAGCAGGAGAGCTGGCCACAGAGCCACCGGTACCTCCATCCCCACCTTCCCCGGGCTGGCCTTTGCTACGCCCTCCCCCTGTGCGGCTCCCGTCCCACTGACAGGTTTCCCTGAGCCCATTCTGGCCTCGCTTCCGCGGCACGGCCGGCTGGGCCACACAGCTGCCCGCAGTCCTCTGCTCTCCCTCACATCTGCACACCCTGGCCCCCGGGACCCGCCCCCCAAACTGGGCTCCCCTCTCCTGTGAAGGGGGAGAGGGAAACAGGAATCCTCTCAGCTGTGCTTTTGGACCAAAGAGAAGCTCAGAACACGCCCTGAGGCCCGGAACAGGCGCGTAGCCTGTGCCCACTGCTGTCCGGCTGCCCTGGGTGCTCTGCCCGGCTGCCTCCACCGTGCCCCCCCGCTGGGTTAGGCTGAGGGCCCCTGCAGCTCCGCTGGCTCCCTGTGAGACAGGGTGCGCCTTAAACTTCTGGGCCACGGAACCCTTTGGAGCCTTGAGAGTTTAACATATGATCCCCAGAAAGATGTGTGTGTGCATGTGTGTGTATGCTGAATTTGCACACCACTGCAGGAGATCAAGAAGCTCCTCAGATCCCAGTTAAGAACTTCTGCAAGTTCCCCTTCAGCCAGAGTGAAAACACCGCAGAGGCTCCGGGAAGGCAGCCGCCTCCCATTTGCTTTTATTTCACAGTAAAGCAATTTCAAAGCGTTTTCTTCCAGGCACTGTGTGTGATGGGATAACCCAGCCTTCCCAAGCATCTGGGCTCCAAGCTCTGCTGCGGGATTCTTGAGCTGCGTGACCTTAGGCGAGTCCCTTCCCTCACACAGCCTTAGGTTCCTCATTAGTTGAGTCACCGACTGAAGGTGAGTGAAGAGACATGTGAGCTGGGCCTCACATGAGCTCACATGGGATAAGCAGAAGCCCCAGTTATAGGTCATAAAAGGCCAGGGGCTCTGGAGAGACCACGAGGCTCTGGGGATGGGACTGTGGCACCAGAAGAGGATGGCAGTTCCCCTGGGAGGAGCGGCTGTGCGTGAGGACATATGACCAACTTTACTCCCAAAACTGCGCCCCGGCCCCCAGAGGTACACTCCAGAGGGCTTTCTGGTCGACCCATAGCCAGGTCTCCCCTTCGAGGCTTTGCCTTTAACAGGATCTGAATGCTGTTCTGTTCATGGTCTTGGTTATGAGTCATTGTCTAGCTGCCTGACCCAGGAGGACCCTGCCCTTCATTGTCCTTGACCTCCAGGCTACCCACTGGACTCTCAGGGTGGAACTACACCCCACCTCCCACCTTTCTCACTGACACTGTGGTCTGTGGCGTCCACCTCATTCTCACTGTCAGGTCGAACGGTCAGCACTGCCCGCAGAGAGAATCAGGAGGAGAACTAACGAAACAGACTTAAACACTGACAAGTACTGAGCCACACCCATGACTACTCCCAGCAGGCAGGATTTGACTCAGTTTAACATGTTCCCTTTCCTCTTCTCTCCTTTCCCTCCTTCCTCTCCCACCCCCATCCCCTAACCCCCTTCTTCCTCCCTCCTTCTCCCTACTATCTCCCATCCTGGTGCCAGCAGCGGCTCGGGAATGACACAGGGGAGTAGGAGGCAGACAGACCTGCAGGTACCTGTTAGTTCTACCAATTCATTTACCTTTCTTTTTTTTCTTTCTTAAAAAAGAAAACAAAACAACAACAACAAAATCATGGTTTTTGGCAGCACATCTTGATTGTGCTGTGGACAGTTAAACTATAAGTAGCCAGTGAGGGTCCAAGCACAAGTGCCTGGCTTTGTAGTCTAACCTGCTTGGATTCAAATGACAGAATGCAGTCTTTGTTTGCTGTGACCTGATTAACTCTTTTGGGAGGCTCTTCTTACAGAGTTTTAAGATAGCGTCGGCCCTGGCCCGGCATTCATGCCCACTGGGATGAGTAAACAAGGCTGTGCGGAGTGAAAACACCGAGGCTCTCACAGCCCGAAGCACAGGACTGAGGGTCAGGAGCTCAGGGGAGAGCAGAGTGAGCTCTGACTTCAGTGGGCGAAATGAATGGGACCTGAGTTCGAATCCTGATCGCACTACTGACTTATCTGGTAAAACTGGATAATTCCACAAGTCTTTGAACATCAGTTTTCTCATCTGAACATGGGTTCAATGAAAGCATTGTGGCTGTAAGAAGTAGAGGGCATACTGTGCTAAACCCCTTCGCCGGCTGAGCAGAGCGCCAGCGCGGCAGGTGCAGCTGCAGTTGGTCACCTGTCGCGCTCAGGCTGTAGCCTCTCCGGGCCCTCCTCGGGGAGGAGGTGCTGGCGCGATGCCCGCTCCCAACTCCGCTCCGGACCACGGGCTCCGGGGCAGCAGGACTGGCACACAGGGGACCTGCTGCGGCAGCCGCGGGCATCAGTGCCAGGCGCCAGCGCTCTCGGCTCGGGGGCCTCGGTGTCAGTGCGCGCCGGACGCCCCGATCTCTCCTGTCCACGGTCACTCACCGTCCTCCGTGGCGCAGTCCGGAGATCTCTGCCGGAGCTGGGCCCTCGCCGGCACCGCGCCGTCCTGGTAGCCCACTGCCCCGGCCTCCCGGTTCAGTGCGTCGGGCCGCCTCTCCCCGCCCCTCGTCGCTCTGGCCAATGGGGAGACCAATGGCACCGCCCCGCCCCTCGTGGGCCAATGGCACCGCCCCGCCCCGCCCGCCCCGCCCTGTGCGGGCCAATGGCACCGGCTCGTCCCGCCCGCTGGCCCGGGCACAGGGAAGGGTCGGCTTCAGGTGGCACCCCAGGTGCAGCCGAGCAGGTTGGGGCGCGGGCTGCGGCGTGTCCTCAGGCCACCGCCAGGCGCCCCGAGTCTCCCGGAGGAAGCAGCCTGCGCGTCATTGACTGGGAAGGTCCAAATTCCGTGGGTCACTAGTGCGCCGGGGAGGGTGAGGGGTGGGGAGGGTCTGTGGCCCGAGCATCGTGATTTTTGCTCCAGGGGCACCCGTTGCACTCTGTGAGCCTGAGGTGGCATCTCAGGGCTCCGCTGGTTTAAGAAGCCGGATCCGAAGATAAAGAGGGACAGATAAACTTCTCTCACCGCCTGCGGGGAGGCAGAGGGGACCGAGACACAGGCCTTTCGGAACTGGGAACAGCTCGGTCTTTCTGGCCCTCTGAGTGGCAGGCAGGGGAGGGGGTTAATGGAAACATTAGCGATTTCTGTTTTATCTCCCATTCCCAGCCCTGACTTCGGGATGGACCTCCTCTTTCCCATCCCCAACATAAATCACTTCAGTTTCAGTCAACCTGTGGCTCTTGATCTTTTTAGCATCACGTGACCATTTTAGCATCTGGACCTTCTAGAAAAATGCAGGCACCCACATAGGCAAAAATCGGGTCAGTGAAGTCTCCCGGCCCCCACCCTACTTCACGGGGGCTGCGTTAATTATTGCCAGGACTGCTGGGTTTGAGGTAAAGAGACTGGGCTCTGCCATCACTTCCTCTGGGCCTCAGTTTCCCCACCTGCAAAAAATGAGGGGGTAAAGATGACCAGCCCCGGGGTCCCTCAGTTCTCCCTTTGTGTGAATTCACGGAGAATGGCCCAGCTCGGCGTCCCTGTGGTTCCAGACCTCCTCTTGCATAGGCCAAAGGCTGAGGTCATCAAGGCCGAGGTCAGTAATTGGGCACCTCTACAAGGTCTTTTAAAACAGCGGGCAAATGCAACCATCCGTCCACCTGTGAGCATTTACCCCCACCAGCAGGGTAATAAACAGCACCAAGGTAACACACAATTCCCTGGGGCTTTCCGGCTCTTGAAAGTGAATCAGTCTTTCTCATCTGGTTGGGGCTGCCCCATGGCCAGGCCGAGTCTGGAGTGAGGAAAGGATTTGAGGAAGTGACCCAATATGTCCTGCAAACCCGGAGTGTCCGCACTGGGCTCAGTGCCTCCCATCAGGGACACCAGCAATCTCCTCCTCAGGCCTGGGGAGCCGGGCATCTACCTGAGTTTCACAGGGAACACAGCACCCACCACAGGGTCCTCTTCAGAGAGAGAGAGAGAGGGGACCACCCCTCCTTCAGTGCTCATCTGTGGTGGGTGTTGTGGACACTGTTAGTTGCAAACCCAATATCTGTTTCCTTCTTTGGGAAAAAGGAAGAGAGGGAGGAAAGAAGAAAGAGAAGGGAAAGGAAAAGAAGAGATAGGAAAGGAGAGAGGGAAAAGAGAAGGGGGAGGAAGAGAGAAGCTTGTTGGAGCAGCATCGCATAGGCCCTCCTGACAGGTGATCACTTCCATTTTTCACGCTGTGCTCAGAGCCAACAGAGAGTCGTGAAGTTAGGTTAGTATTAGGGTGTGATAAGAAATCTCACGGCGGGCCAGTCAGAAATGTTGGAAGGCCATTCTCTAAATCGATCTTGACAATTCTTCTCATGGCTGTCCAGCTTCCTCTGAAACCAGAAGTGGCAGTGTGACCCACTTCTGGACAAAGAAATAGGGAAGAATGTGGGGGCTGAGGGGAGACTCGAGGAGAGAGCACAGCTTCTGCTTTCCTGGTGGGAGGAACGGTCGCTCTCCCTCTCTGCCTTCTGTCTCGAAGGTGGATACAGCGTGCAATGGCTGATGCACTGGCCGTCACGTGAGAGCCGGGGCTGGGAGCACACAGGTACTAACACCGTGGCTGCCCGCCCTGGCTGTGCACCCTAGGTTGTCTGCCACGGAGAAAAGCCCTGTTGTAGATAAGTCTTTTCTACGTAGCTTGCTGCTGTGATTTGGAAGCTTCCATAGACAGCGTGTAAACCAAAGCCATGGCTGTGCGGCCACGTGTGGCCCATGGGCCGTTGGCTGCTCTCTCCTGGGTGATCTTGCTCCTTCATTGCCTCTCTCCCTTTGTCTCCTCTGCTCCGGCCACGCTTCTTCCCTCCCGAGGGCTTTGCACTTGCTGATGCCCCAGCCTGAAGGCTCTTTCCCCAATGTCCACAGGGCTTGCTCCTTCACCTCCTTCCGATCCTGACTTACAAATTACCCCTCCTCTAGGCCTTCCCTGGTTCCCCAACTGAAGCGCTCCCGCCCCCGCCCCCGCCCCCGCCGGCCCACAGGCACTATTCTGAGGCGTGCTGTATATGTCACTTCTTTACTCCGAGCTACTTGAGGGAGGGAAACTGTGTCTGCCTGCAATGCCGTAGTGTTTGATCAGTATTTGGGTTTTAATTGATTTTTTCCCTTTCTGCCAGGTTCAGGTAAGAAAACAGACTCAGGGGGCTCATTATCCCATCCACGGGACACAGTGGGTAAAGCGGTGGAATCTGGGTTTGCACCCTGGGGTCTGGGCAGTTGTGTTTGTGGCACCCAGGAGGGAGGGAGAACAGCTCCATTGGCCGATCAGGCGTTCGGGGCCTGATGCCACACAGAGATTCCTGCAAGGCTCCTTGCCCGGGAGCGTCCAGTGAAGCAGGCCTCTGGGAACCCATTAAGGGAACCAAGGTGATCCAGGTCATCCGGGCAGGCTCACTGCCACAGCATTCCCGCATCAGAGGGTCTTCAGTGGAGTCATTATTGGTGAACAGTCCAGAATGACTTGCAAGGTCATAAAAAGCCAAATGGAAACACTTACGATTCAACATTTTTAGTCCAGAAAACCCACAAAGAGTGAGTTTACATTTGATTTACAAGTGGGGGAACCTAAAGGAGCTTAATAGAGCATAAAACACACGGACACCTTGGGTCAGGACACCGGGCGACGCGTTCTGATGGCTTTCGCTCGAGGCTTCTCGGCACCAGGCGCTGCTCCTAAGAGCCAGAGAAGTGACCTCCTCCCCTGCGGCTCCGAGGGGAGAGCTCTGGACACGCCGCGGAATACCCGTGCGGTGAGGCGCCATTTGGATTTCACTGCGTCTTCAAAAATAAGGCTGTGTATTTTAACACAGATAATTTTATGTATGAGGGTCATTTTCAAGGCCATTTCTTTACACAGCAAAGGGGAGTTTGAGTTAAAATTACTGGTTACTTGCCTAAGGCCTTTAATAGATAACTTGGTATGATTTTTCCCTTCACTGTCTGACATCCGATTTAGAACAAATGACTTTTTAAAGCAGATTTTTCCCCCCCAAAAAAGTCTGCATGATTCAGAATGAAATTCTTTAGGAAACAATTGAATGATTGAACTTGATTGCGCTCTGTACGATCCAGTTTAAACCAAACAGCGTGCCTTTGCCTTTAATGGGCTTGTAGGAAACTGACCGACAGGAAGAGGCCACTTACACAAGCTCCTTGCACCAGTTCTTCGGTGGAATCCTTGAGGAGTGAGGTCACCCCAGTGTGTGATCTGAGCATGTAGAAATATTTGCCATCGGTTTTCAGATGCTTTCCCAAATAATCTGCATACCATCGACTCTTCTTTCCTATGTGAAATGGTTTGCATGAACTCCATTTGTTAGCATATACATAATAACTTGTTAATATATGGAACTCTAACCCACACCAGAGAACTTATCTCCAAATGGACATAAATTCCAATGATGTATGCCTCTCAGGGTGCTTTCTTATTACACACACACACACACACACACACACACACACACACTTTGTGTGATTTGTTCTTTATGGCTGTGTTCTGGAAAAGCTTTTGAATCCTACCTGGTAGAACGAATACGTGTTTAGGCACAGGTTTTCCTAGGGGTGAGAGAGCTTGCTTTAAAAGGTGACATAACGCCTGGTCAGTGTGGCCCAGTGGTTGAGTATCAACCCATGAACCAGGAAGGCGCCATTTGATTCCTGGTCGGGGCTCATGCCATGACCTGTTTTGGCTCATCCTCAGTAGGGGCCATGCAGAAGGCAGCTGATCAATAGTTCTCTCTCTCCCTGTCTCCCTCTCTCTGAAATCAATACATACATTTTTAAAAGTTTCCTTTGGGGGAAAAATAGCTGCTTAGCTCAAGGGCTTCCCCCACCTGTTATTGAGGAAAGGGTGGCTGTCCCCAGGTCTGCTCCGAAGGCACGAGTGAGGATGCGATGGCATGGGCAGGTGCAGGCAGAGAGCAGAAGCAGGCCTGGTTGGCTGACGAGTCCCAGGCCTTTCTCTTCACCCACTCCCCTTCTTCCCGGCACTGGCATAGGTAATTTTTTTTGGAGGTTCCCCCCACAACAGAACAGATCAGAATGCTAGGGGAAAGACATCTTCCACTTCCTCAGGCGTTCCTGCCTTCTCAAGCCCCCTCCCCCCACCCAGACCTGAGTCCCCACCCAGCCACGTGCCATGCCCTCAGAGGCTGCCTACAACAGCGGCTTCTAGAAAGTCCTTTATTATGGGTGGTCTTAAAAATAACATCAAATAATTATGGCGATAAAAGATTCCTGAACAAACTGCTTCCTTAATGTAACTACAATTTTAATACTAGAAAATGATGGTTAATGTTTTGATTAGTGTAACAAATTAGCAGGACTGTTTACTGGGTTTAGGGAGCTGAGCATGAAACAGTACAAGGGCAGGGGGATTTAAGGATGGTGCTTCTCAAAGGAGAAAGATTTAAGTAAGGATTTGTCTGCACAGAGTCTGGGCTGGCCTGGGAGCCAGAATTTCTATGAATAGAAAGATACTGAGATTCAAGGCAGAGAACTCATATGCAATTAGGACCTTCCCTCAAGC